GAATCAGCCCAGCGGATCATGCGTCGATCGACATACACTCTATGTTGATCGATGCAACAACAATGTGTCGATCAACACTCAACCCCGGTGTCGATCGATACACGCTGTGTCGATTGATGCAACATCGCATAATCCAGGAACCGAACCTATCCGCTCATGGATCGATTCCTCAACGCGATTATCGATCCCTGTACAAAATCTCATCATCACAAACACATGATCACATCAAAAACACACAATCAATCGCATCCTATCAATTTCTTTACCCAGATAAGTCATGGTCACGCACTCATCTCGAATCTGGAAAGGAAAAGGATGAAACTACGAAGAACGCGATGAACGAATCTCCAAATCCGAAAATCCTCTTCTTCCCCACGAAAAACACGCTCTCAATTCGATCCTAGAGCCTCACAACTCACGAAAACACGCTTTTAGGATCGTGAATCCAAGGAAATCAACAATGATTCCTTCACAACACTCAATCCACTCAAGAACTCTCCAAAACTCAGTTTTTCTCCCAAAAATCCGACTGGAAAACGGCCCCTCGGCTTATATACACGAACCCTAAAGTTCCTCTAAACCGAACCGCAATCCGATGCTCGAAAACCGAACTTGTCGATTCAAATCAAGCTTGTGATGATCAACGCAACACCCGAAATCGCGACTTCTCACCAGTCGAAACATATGTGTCAATCGACACTCACGCAATAATTTTTTTTATTATTATTTATGATTTTTATAGTTTATATTCTTGGTGTTGTAGCTATTGTTTGAATTTATATTGTATTATATTCTGATAATATCAATTCTAATTACTAACATACATGTTGTTGTTTTTTTAGAAAGAACGATATACATTTTGTTGTTTCTTTGTGTGCAGCTTCGTCATGGTATATATCGAGTATATAAATTATGTTTATATGCATCTATTATTATAAAAAGAAAATTTGTATGCACTTATCGAATTCGTCTTTTAGGTCATTTGTACTCATATAAATGTGAGCTCTAGGATTTAATCACGATATTTTTTTTGTTTATTATTTTTTTATGGATCCTAATATATTTCTTTTTTCTTCTTCTCGCAGCAGGTTCATCTTGATGATTTCTTCTTTTGTCTTTTTACAACAGGTTTATCGTGGATGATCCTTCCTTTTATTTAAGGTATAAATTGATTCTCTACAAAAATTAGAAAAGTTTTGTTCATCGATTTGTTTCTTAA